TGAGCTCTGATCATCCTCCAGTCACTGAAGCCAGGATAAGTGGGTATTATCTGCAAGTGTAGGTGTTCTTATGCATATGCCCTCTCTTCTTATCAGCTGGACGTTTCACTCTCCACTCTAGTCCTCTGTGGCTATGTCACTGGCTCTGGGCCCAAAAGTCCCCAGGGCTTGCCACACTGCTGGCCAACCAGTTCTTCACCCGGGTTCACAGAAGTCTACTGAACGTTGCAGGGCTTAGCTCACCTCTTCATTGCTGTTTTTCCCTCACTTCCCCTTATTGGTGTAGAGCGTGGTCACCAATCACAGCGTGTATTCCCATTGAGTCTTAGTCTTAGAAGGCGAAGGGAGCTTTTACAAAATAATTTTGTTGTATTCATACAATCTAAGAGATATAACATTTAAACAGATTGCAGTTGTAGCACATGTTATTCGAGGATTAAAATTGTGTGGGAGGAGGCTGACAACCTGGTGACTTGGCCCCACGGCAAAGTTCCTGCAGGGACCCATTAGCATCTCACCTCGTCTGAATAAAGAACACCCTGCGCCCCCGTTCCTACCTGAGTAAGGCGTCGCCGAGAGCAACAGTCGCCTTCGGGTGCAGAACAGTCAGACATGGTTTGGACAAGGGGGTCCTGCTGTCTAGGACTTTCGCCAGGTTTTGCTCCCGGAGCTCCACCAGGGCTCACGCGGCAAAGTCACAGATACAATCAGGCGGTTCTGAGGGCAGCCTGGAGGCGGGGCTGACAAGGCGCGAGGCGGGGTCAGAGAGGGCCTCACTGAGTAGGAGATCCAGACTGCGAAGGGGCCAACGAGGTTGGAGGCGGAGCTATGAGGGCTTTTCGGCAGTAATGGGGCGTGGTCAGCTCGATTGGAGGCGGGACGTGGGAGGGTCTTGATGACTGGGCAATCAGGCTGTGCTGCGGGCAGCCCGTGAGAAGGCCGGGAATATGGCGACCTCCTGGAGGCTGAGCGGTGACCCCCGTTTGCTACGCTGTCTCCTGGGTTTCCGTGGACGGGGAAGCCCTGGGCTGGTGAAGGGGACTTTCGGGAGTGCTTTCGGGCGCTCTGTCGGCTGCGTAGGTAGTTGGAGATGGTTTCACGGCACGCAGTGGATGCACGGTGAGTGGCTGGGGCGTGCTCTGCAGCTCTGCAGCTGATCCATGGGCCTGAGTAGGGGTATTATTAATGAGGGCGCGTGTCTGTGTATAGAGGTGTCTTGCTTTCTTCTTCCGGGAGAGGTCTGCAGGCTTGAATTGGTGAATGCCGCAAAGGGTTTTCTTGGGAGCTGGGAGGACGCTACTCCATTCCTGACCCCCTCGTTGAATGGCTTCTCTGTGACCTTGCTTTGGAATATGGATTATTTGGGAGGCAGCGGGTAAAGGTCCTAAACGCCCTTCTCTGTGGTCTCTCCCTAGTTACTTCCGGGTTCCTTTAGGGTTGTCAGGCATATCATGGGGGAAAACTGCCCAAGGTTGTTGGTTCCCAAACCTCTAACCATTCCTAGTCATTCTCTGGTGGTGGTGGTGTGCCTTGGAGTCGGTTTCGACTTATAGCGACCCTTTGTAGCTTTTCCAAAGCTGTAAATCTTTACGGGAGCTGAAAGCCTCGCCTTTTTCCCGCAGAGCAGATGATAGATTCGAACTACATCCCAGTGCGTAATTCTCTGTGCTACCACGTCCATCTTTATTGGGAGATTTCCCCATATAGGTCTGGTTGCTTCTTGGATGCCTACTAACGAGCTTAATTTATAAATGCCTGCGGTATCACAGAAGTTTGAGAGTTACAATCTCCTTGTTAGGAAGGGAATCCTAACAAGATTCTGTGTAGGGTGGAGCCCGGAATCTGCATTTTACAAACATCCCCAGGTGAGTTTTGATATAGATGCTTGATGGACTACACTTTTTAAGACATACTGCTTAAGAAACTCATGCAATGTTGAAAGTTGTAAATAATCCAGGAAGGTTTTTTAAAAGAGATATTTTAGAGAATCTTTGAATATTTAGAGCATATAACAACTATAGAGGAGTCTTGGTGTGGCACTGTGGATTAGTGCGCTGGACTGCA